TTGACACTGATTTTCTGTGATCTCAGCATCTATGATGAATGTATGCGTCAATATATGCTGGATATATGCGTCTTTCGATACCAACCTGACGCAAAACATGACATGACTACACACTTGAAGTATTTTACTATCACTGCAGAAAGTCCATTCTTATTGAAAAGAAATACATTGCACAAATTACAACCCCAAAAAATACATTCCTGTAAAGCATTATCAACTCATGACTGTGTTTGCTCTATTAGAAGCACATCTCCAATATACTGGCAGTAAGCACACATAAACTAAGAATTAGAATTTTTTAAATACTTTTAAATTATTAAAATATGACTTATTCTGACAATAGACACACATATACATTGTATATGCTAATAATAGAGCAAATTAAGTATTTTCACTGAATAGAATATTCCACTGTAATACAAGTGAGAAGACCAAACATTCATTCTACGTCAGCTAACTTAATAAATTATGTCTCAGCTAAATCAAATTTCAAAATCAAATTCTCAAACATTTAGCCTGGTTGGATGGTATTAAAATATGTAAGAAAATTCATACCAAACATTTTATAGCATTCATGACACAGGTAGTATTTAATTACATATTGTTATATTCAATATATTTCTAAAAAAAATTATCTATAAAGTGACAATTTTGAAAATTCATATTCTATCAAATATTCTTGATTCTACTGGCCGCATCAATGGATAGCCTTTTAATTTGTGGTTCAAAAAATAAAGTAAAGACAAAATTCTTGAAGAAAATATACAAAACGCTTGTGAACCAAACTATTTATAAAGCGACAGATTATTATAATCTCTCTTCATTTAAGGATGTGTAGAAGTCAAACAGAATACATTTAATACAATTTTGAAGATAAAAAACAATTAAAAACATCAGTTCACTCATTACAATGTTTCTCTGGTAGTGGGAGGGAATTATTTTGTTATATCAAAAGCGGTTCAATCTATGACTCAAAACAATGTAAATAAAAAGTCTTCTTTGACAACTATAGTATTTTTAATGCAGCTACCGTACCGTACCGTATTTGCTCTATTAGAAGCGCCTCTCATATAGACTAAAATATTGAATATTACAACCATAGAAACACCTTGATAATATACGTAAGCACATATGCTACTAATAAAACAAGTACGGTATATGTTACAAAGAATATGTCAAATGTGATGCAATAAATAACAATGGATGGCAGGAACGACATAACACTTATAAGATTCTTGTTCATCACTGTAATCTACTGAACAAGAAAATTCATTACAAAACAACATATATATCTGTGGTCTACATAACTCCAATGTGTCTATAATGCTACAATCATAGCATCTGTATTTCTGGATAAAATTTACATTCAAGGCATAAAAAAAACTTGGCACTTGCCTCATAGGAAGGCTATATATAAATAAAAGATATGGATGAGGGGATTATTCAAACCTAAAGTCATTTATATTTTTATGTATATTGGCATGGATAGCCATATTGCATACATATATTGCATTTTCAGTTGATATTTATGATTTTAAAATCATTTTTAAAAAATACTGTAGAATGTTTTAAAGTAAATTAATATTTTGTAGATAAAAATAACTATTTCTAAAGACTTAGGTGTACAGTGGTGATCCACTGCTAAAGTTTGCTTATCGAACATAATACCGGTGCTTTTTTGTGTACATTGCGTGTGCAAATTGGTGTCCGTGTACAGGCACATACTTAACAACCACGAAACGAAACGTTTGTGTGGCCTCCAATATATGAACTACTTCTTCAACCAAATAATTTGTATCCTATGTGACTAAATGTAGAGAAACTAATGGAAAAAAAATTAATACATTTCAAGAAAGTCTGAAATAGGATAGCACAGCTAGTATCCTGTATAATTATAATGTTTGACTTAGACGAATGGAAGAAAATCAAAAGCATAAAAGTAGAACAATATCATGTTTTTTTTTGTATGTACTCATATACTGCATTTCCACTGAAACATACTTCATTATGTAAGTAGCAATAAACACATTTCATAAATAAATACTATAAGATTATCACAAAGATTATATAAAGTATTCACAAATGCAGGACAAGGATTGTATCACAAAATGCTATGGATGCTTAGGCACAATTCAAATCTGAACCATATGTGACATATAAATTGAAGTTAAACGGGAGTTTCTCAATCTCTGAGATGGCATCATGGGATACCATTATTCTTGTTGTTTAAATAACTGATCTGTCTATATTTGTTATTGCCTATTGAGTCCAGTAAAAAAATAAGCTGAAAATTAATCCAATACAAAACCAGAGAATGTTTTCTATGAGGTTTAGTCTACCATTTTTTGGTATAAGGTTGCATTCACATAGACTTTGTATTCCACACATGGCATGTTATGTTGCTATTAAAATCAAAGAAAGCTTAGAAAGAACTTCTGTGTGCTGAGAGTATTAGAGACACAGTAAAAATTAATACAATTATGCAAATTAGGTAATTAATATGCACAATTATTTACTCCAAAACTAATCAGGTCTCTGCATAGTTCTAGAGGACCTATGTACAAAGTTACATTGAAATGTGATGAATAGTACTTGAGATATACGTGAAAATTCGAAAATTAACTAATAATGCAAATTAGGTGATTAATATGTACTGATATTACCATAAAAAACTATCAGGTCATTGAAATTTGATGATTAGTAGCTGAGTATCAGTGGCAAAACCGAAAATTTACTAATCATTATGCAAATTAGGTAATTATTATGCACAGATTTTTACCAAAAACTAATCAAATCTGTGCATAAGTTCAGAGCATCTATGTACCTAGTTTCATCAAAATTCAATGAATGGTTCTTTAGATATCAGTAGAACAGTCCTGGAACAGCTAAAAATTGGCTAATTATCACGCAAATTAGGTCATTAATATGCATGGATTTCTACCAAAACCTAATCAAATCTGTGCATTGGCCCAGAGCATCTATGCACCAAGTTTCAGAAAAAAACGATGTATGGTTCTTGAGATATCAGTGGAACAGACACACACAGACACACTAACTGCAAAGACTCCCTTTGTGTGCTTTGCACACGGGAGTCAAAAAACTATAAACTGCTTTTTTTTAATAGATCAGAAAAGGGAATTTTTTGTTACATAGGTTTGAGTTCATTTGCCACAAATTATTTTAATGTAAATGTAATAAAAGTAAAACAACAACCTACGAGAATGTGATCTTATAAAATTTGCTGAAGTTGATGGCTACTAGTATATAAGCTTCAGTCTTCATAAAAAATCAACACCTCTATTGCACAAAATAATGTAAATCATACTTCTAAAATAAAAATAAATTGTCATTACACAAGTAAGACACCATGTCTTACACACTATATAGTGTATATGCATTTTTTTGGGGTCATTTTTATTTATTATCACAATATTGTGGAATTTTTGTTAAGATATTGTAAAACTTGAGCTGCATATTCACAATATAATAAATACTTACAACACAAATTAAATTATTTAAAATTACATTTAAAATAAGTACATTTTGTTTTTATACTTGTTTAATGCCCTCGTTTCTTGTGTGATATCACTATGTTTTTGGACTTGCTGGTAACTTAGGTAACAGATATACAGGACTTCCACCATGATAAGGAAGACCATCAGCCTGGATCCTGAAAATGAAAAGTGATTTTTACCTATAAGATATATATTGAGAGAAAATAAATAAACAAGCATTATGACTATGGTTGGCCTGCTAATAAGCAGACATAGAAGGCACATACACATCCTGCATGAAATAATAGTGAATACTAATGACAGACAAGTAATATGTATGATTGTACAAAAGGGGTTATGTCTATAGGCTTTGATATATTATTGAACCAGTAAAATACCATATTTTTTAAATACTTGTATGGTACTTACTCTGCCATTCTATAAGTGTCACGACGGTCATTACCATCATCAGTACTGTGAATAAAAACACAAACAGATATATTAAATAACAGCACATACACACACACTGCTGATTGTCGCACTGTTTCCAATAAAATAATCTTCCTGTCAGGGTTAAAGTTAGGTTTAAATTGTTTAGTTTGTTGCCATAGTTTCTATAAACAACCCTTTTTTCAAATGTATTAGTCATCAAGATCACTGGTAGCATCACTGTTTGGGCGTAATTGGACAGTCTAAATTTGAGTTTGTGCAAAAAAAGACAAAAAAATAGACAAAATGCCTGCCAGTCAACTATCCTGGACTGGATTGTTTTTCTTGACATGCTAAAATGCAATTATTTATGTACCAAATTTGGATCTGAATGGACAGTGTGAATTTGAAAAAAGATGAAAACAAAATGGCTGCCAGTCTTCTTGGAAAAGAACATGGCAACAATCAAATTACACTGTGAAGTAATTACAAATTGAGGGATTGCATAGTATTGACATTAATAAAATGGCCATTTGCCAATTTAGAACAAATTTCAAAAAAATAATGCATGTGCATGTATAAAGCATGTATATCTATATTTGATATTGTATATTTTTGCGTTCAATGTACAATCTGAGCAAACTGTTACCAGGTCATCATAAAAATACTACCGGTTCTGTAATTCTGCAGCCAACCTGATTTAACAGC